CATGTTCTAACTCTCTCGCATGGATTCACTGCGCACAGATACTAGCGCACCTATATAGCGAATGTGGTATCATAGGTAGCTCTCTTCGGATCGAAAGACAGATTCCACACTCTGACAGAATTTTGTACTTTGTGTTAGGATTGTTGAAAGAACTAAATCAGTTTCGATCATGTCTTCTGCTACAAATAACCGTGTTCCACATTATTCCATTCGCCTGCTCTCGTCAGAAGACGTGACTAACGAAGAATAGTCTACTCTCCTATCATCAATTCTGTTCAACCCGTGCTATCCCATGTACTTTAAATCATCATGGGCAATTGCCCATATCACAGAGACAGCCCTTTGGTAACGAAGGATTATATGGAGGGACAAGAGAGTCTTCATCTACGGTCCAGAAGTCAGACAAGTTTGAGAAAGGGAAGATCCGTACGGTGACCTCTATGTAAACTGAATGGTGTTCGCAAGAAAAACAAAGTTCATTTTCAGGGCCACTAAATGGCCTCAAAAAGATATCTATTCATTCTTGCCTAAAACAAATTTAGTTGATTTTTGGTTTGATGGATTTATGTTGATAAATATGTGTTTGTGTCATATGTCTATGTCTCTGGCTATGTCTCTAACCATGTTTCTAACCACGTCTCTACGTCTATGTCTCTATTTGCTCTTAGAGAAGCGCGTATTCAGGTCAGCCCCTTGCAACACTGTTCCACCAGATTGAGGTCAGCCACTTGCAACATTGTTGCCAGTGTCCAGCACTGTGACGTAAATTCCCATTGATCCTAGAATGGCCCAAGTTAAAGTCCAATTTGACCACATAGCGCAAACGACCAAATTTAACATCGAAGTCTACGTGACCCTATGAATGTTGACCCCATAGTGTAAATGACCCAAATTAAAATTAGACCCTATGTGACCTACTGTGGTCATTATTTTAATTTTGGTTGATTGTGTTACCTCGTCCTCAAATTGAGGGCATGGGAGGTGAGGTCATCATAAGCTATTGGCGTCCTCGTCATCATCATCATCTGCAGATGGATGGTGGTTGGAGGTTATCATTTAAGATATTTGCAGGGTGCACTGCCTCGTTTTCGTCATCTTCAGATTAGATATAAAATTTGGACGGAAAGAAAACAGCAGGTATTAAAAGATTTTTTGACTAAAGCTATTGTTGGCTTCTTTAGCTGAATATACTTGAAAATTGACGAATTGCTGTCCAGTAATACCAGTTTGGTCGCCCAGTTACTTGATTGTAAATCGAATGATTATGGTCCAATATTACCAATTTTGTGATCCAGTTATCTTAGGCTAATTTTAACACATTATTTAGATGCACGTTAACACTATGGTCAATACCGGGGCAAAATATTGTCTTACGAAAACTGCAGTCGTAGCACCTGAACATCTTTAAATCTGAAATTAGGATGCATACATTGGTGAAATTGTAAGTGAAACGGTTTATTGATAAATCAGCTAATGTTCTCATCATTTTAAATTTCTTTTTCATGTCGACATTTTCAGTCAGTATAAACACCACCACACGCTTACATATATAGAGTTGCTAACAATCTGGTGTGATGTTAACTTTTATTATGCACACTTCATTTAAAAATGGAAAACTTTCATACAGACCGGATGGGAATATGAATATTATTTTTTTTCTTCTTCTATTAATATACTGTGACCACAGGTGGCTAAGTGTTCTATGGCGTTTCTCTGTACAGATCACTCAACATCCCATGGATATGTGAGAATGCTTGCATGTAGCCTCACTTGGGCCGACATGACAATCTTATCATGTGCTGAAAAATGACCTGAAACTTCACAAACCCAACCGATGGAAACAAAACTAATTCAGAAGGTGTAATAATAACTTCCTGTTCATGGAATAAAAAAGAAAACACAGGTAATAAACCTAAAAAAGACATTACCATCGGAAATCACCGATTTACACTTATTCATATTTATGGACCCAACAGACACAGTCCACATTTTTTACTTTTACTTTGACAAGACACAAGAGAATTTTGCATTTAAAAATAATGGTTTACTTATAATGAGAGATTTTAATATTGTGACTGATCCATATAAGTATTCATTGAATCAGTTGTGTAAATAATACAAAAGGAAGAGAAGAGGTCTTAGATATAAATAGTGATGGTAATATATGTTAACCCTTATAGTACATACAGTAGAATGATAGAGTGAATACTATAAAGCATCGCTTCAAAAAGGCATTGGATCTGTGCATGGTTTTATTAAAGGGTTGGTTTCTGGATACATTTCGATATTTTTACAAAAAGGTATTCTTATAACATTAATTTCAGATAATCAAAGCACACGTGCGGTTTAAATCAAATAATACGTTATTCTGAACTACAACACTTTATAAATATCGCTGTGTATATCATGTTTAGGGAATTGCTAGGAAATAATGCATTATTAGATAGTAGAAGAAAATGTAGATTTGAATTTGGCAATTTAGCAGATAACGACTGACGTGTTTCCATGCTACCACACAAAACTGCAAAACGTCCACAATAAAGATGGCTGAAAATAAGGAAAGCACAAATAATTGTGAATTACAAATTTGCATAAGATTTAAGTTATTTTATGTAATGTTTTTGCATATGATGACGGAGCAGTAGGTATCGAAATTATGTATCTATCGTTGTTTCTAAGGTGCTTATGAGTTAAAAGTTAAAATCTAACTGTAGCCATGTAACTGTCGAGTCTCTGTTGTGGTTTGGTCTGTGTCAAATAAGTATGTTAGATAAAATGACCAATTTCTCCATTCTACTGAACAATGTGTGTGTGTGTGCGTGTGCGTGTGTGTGTGTGTGTTGTATCCTGGTCAGAAGTTCAGACAAGTTTAGCACAATTCTAGCCATTTCATCTGCCACCTGGATTGTTTTCTTCATTTTCCACCTTTTATATTACTCAAACAAACCTGGAATTGCATAACCTACCTGAGTGTGCCAGTGTTCTCAGGGGCCCCCGGATGACCGAGAGGTCTGAAGCCCTCGCCTTTACCAATTACTGCCATCTCACCTCTGTCCGCTTGGGTTCGAGTCTCGGGTTTTGCCAGTGCGGGTATATGAGAAAGCGTGTAATTAGCTACCAGTGGGTTTATGGTTCTTACCTGAGGTTTCCCTGGATTTTTCCTACCATTTATGCTGGCCATGTATAACTTATATTGCGCTGAGAAATGGCTCGAAACCGAAAGTAGTAAAAGCAGCAGAGATACTCTCAGTACTGTCTTAACCAGGCCCGACCTTAGAGCAAGGCAAACCTACCTGTAGCCATGTAGATATCGAGTCTCTGTTGTGGCTTGGTCTGTGTCAAATAAGTATGTTAGATAAAATGACCGATTTCTCAGTTCTACTGAACAGTGTGTGTATGTGTGTGTGTGTGTGTGTGTGTGTGTGTGTGTGTGTGTGTGTGTGTGTGTGTGTGTGTATCCTGGTCAGAAGTTCAGACAAGTTTAGCACAATTCTAGGCATTTCATCTGCCACCTGGATTGTTTTCTTCATTTTCCACCTTTTATATTACTCAAACAAACCTGGAATTGCATAACCTACCTGAGTGTGCCAGTGTTCTCAGGGGCCCCCGGATGACCGAGCGGTCTGAAGCCCTCGCATTTACCAATTACTGCCATCTCACCTCTGTCCGCTTGGGTTCGAGTCTAGGGTTTTGCCAATTCGGGTATATGAGAAAGCGTGTAATTAGCTACCAGTGGGTTTATGGTTCTTACCTGAGGTTTCCCTGGATCTTTTCCTACCATTTATGCTGGCCATGTATAACTTATATTACGCTGAGAGATGGCTCGAAACCGAAAGTAGTAAAAGCAGCAGAGATACTCTCAGTACTGTCTTAACCAGGCCCGGCCTTAGGGCAAGGCAAACCAGGCAACTGCCTTGGGCCCCGCGTTTCAACGCAATGCAGTTTTATTGCTTGTGGCCCCGTGCTCATCACTTATTGTTTTGGGCCCCACATGCGGCCCTGGGCCCCACACATCATAGAGCCATGTCTCAGTTGCTTAGCTTGCGGAGTAGACAGTTGTCCCGGGCGCCATGTGCCAGAGGCGCAAAAATGAGGACAATACATTATATTCGTTATCTCAGATGTACTTGAAGGGGGTGCCATGCTTACGTTATATCCCCGGGCATTAAGTACCCTCGCTGAATCATTGCTGAGTCTGGTGTTAACGTACAAGCTTTTTCAGCCGAGGTAGCTCATTTGGCAGAACGAAAGAATCGCAATCAAATGGTCGCAGGACAGATACCGGTCCAGAACAATTTAGGTTGGTTGCCTAGGTGTGTCACTGGGAATGACAATAGGTTGCCATCTCCTCAGCATCATCTTGCCAATAACATGCTATAAGTGTCGTCAAACCCAATAAAGAAAGACCTTTCCAGATATCATTTTTTTGCACCTAATACCATTAAAAATGGCTTTGCTACCCCTCACCCTGGACATCTTTAATTGGTGCCTATATATTTAATACACAGTAAAACTTTTAATGTTTTAATGTCGCCTGACTTAGAGACCCTTAGTAGGTCCAATAAGGCTGTGATTAAATTGAAAATAAACTGAAGGTGCCCCATATTTTAATCCTTATCATGTTTTACTATGTTATGACAATGCGTGTGTTTATTATCCTATCACTAAATTAGTCTCCACTGTTTCATTATTATTCTTGTTATTATTACATGGGTTTAGCTTTACCCTCTGGTGTTAGATTTGTTGTTAGCGGTAACTAAATCAACAAAAAATTGCCAAATTAACCGCCTTTGTGGATATTAAATGAATAGTCTATACAAGTTGCATCGAATTTTGATTATTGAGATGTTACTTTGCAAGTATCGATATAGTCATCATATATCTGAGCGAGCGTATTGATGACTAAAAGCTCAGCCAATATTAATATAGCAATAGAATATTCACAACAATTACATAATGTTCATCTACATATATAAACTTTGTTCACATTGGCAAACAACGGTTGCTTCCCCGAGTGATGAAAGGCGCTGGTTTTAGGCACCAGATTCTTCGGAGGCGTGGGTTTAAATCCCACAGCTGTCAAGATAATTTTTTTCTTACATTTATTTTTGTGTCTTATTTTTGTGCTCTGTAAGATTCTTAAACCCTGTTTTTCTACACGGATCCAATATTAAAATGAAAATATCGCATGGCTTAACGATGTTTTCAAAAATTAGAGATAAACACAGATGTAAAAAATGTTTATTAAATGACCAAATATTTAAGTTCACTAATTAATTAATTAATAATTTCATATATAATATAAATATATATAACATCGGTGAATATATAAATTGTATTTTATTTTCCTAACCTTATAGTGGATATATTTCACCATCTGGTGCAAAAGTGACCTTGTAACAAGTGACTAAAGCAAGAATTAACAGTAAGAGGAACGAAATGGTGGCGAATCAAATCTTTCGACAACAAAATAGCTCAGTTCCTAAAATGAAATGTAGTATCCATTCATTATCTGGCACACCAGATGTGTTTCTTTTCTTGCTGCTATAAGGTATGTAGGCAGATGGTGAATAAAGGAATTACACAATTAAGAAATGTGTTTCGAAAAAAAATGCTCAATATTGCACACAAGTTCATAATAAATATTCAGCTTATCATTTTTTGTTCTAAATTGATAATGTTGATAAGACTTAACTCTATAAGAAAGAAAAAAAACGGCCAGATTTCAATATTCAAAGAATCACAGCCTTGCAACGATTTTATGTCCCTTAGCTTGAAACCACATTACATTTGCAGAGTCTCATAAGGAATCCTTTTGATTATAGAAACACTACATCAAGTTCAGTTTTATAGCGATGAATTAGAAAGAGGCATGGTAGAGTATAAAGTAATGGAATAAATTAATCACAATTAGTAAAAAAAAAAATAATCGACTTTACTTTTTGTGGTGACGTCCAACACAGTGTTTGGTGAGATACTATTCTAATAATGCTGGATCCATAAAATAGTATTTTGACCCATCGTTGTTTTATGAATGATCCAAGTATTATTAACTAGGCAATTAGTCTTTTCCATTCGACTTGAAATGTTTTCCCTTTTTCTTTGGAGAATATGTGGTTTACTGACATAATTCTGGCATTTCTCTCAAGTATTTGCTTCTCAAACAATAAATTCTATCTCAGGTTATATAAATTTTAAATATCCACGCAAACCATCAGAAACAGTAACAATTAAAATAAAATGTATGCAAAACAGTGCACAGTTTAACACACTTCAAATTTTAAAAGAAAAAATTTAAGTAAAAACAAAAATGAAAGTGAAGAAAACCAAACCCAGCTTATAATCTCTCGAAATGAAAAGAATAATATCATAATTAAAAAAATATGTGTGGTGGTGCACAGCTTTGGCAACTGAAGCGGTCACTTTATCTTTACTAAAACATTACAGCAGCCTAGACTGATGATTAACTTAAGATGGAGTTTATACTTACGGACTATTTTATCTCGCGTTCCTTCGCCGAGTATTCATTATAAACTTTTACAATTTCTTTGTAAGTTAAATTAAAATGATGTTTAACAAATTCCAATATGCCATAAAATTCTAAGATATCTATTTCTAAATTTTACTAAACGATTCCGATATGTTTTTGTTCTTGTCGACTGTGGATTCCTCCAGTTCGTAATGGATGCACAGTACATGTATGATGTTAGGCAGTAAGGAAATCGGGACGAACTTTATGGCTAGATTGCGTAAAAGACGGAAATATAGACAACGAGAATGCATACTTCAGTGGCTTACTGTCCTCTTCTCTGCCATTACTTCTTCAAAATCTTATAAGGCACATTTCATATAAAAATATATATTCTCTATTTGCTTAGGAATAATTTTGAAAACATGTATGTGGAGATAAGTTTCATAAATAAAATATTTAAATGCATAATTCCTGTTTTGATTACTTTGCACAATTATCAAATGTGTTCACCCACTCCCACTCCCAACTAAATAAAATGTGGAAGAGAAAACTTTTAGCCTTATTGTAGATATTCAGAAGCACAGTTTTCAGGGGGAGGGTCATTACTCTACGCGCATGAAACGTTTTGCAATTTTCAGTGAAAGCGATAAAAACTTGTAAATTATGTCATTTACAATTAATTTATAAAGATTCTACAACGTCATTGGCTCATGATCAACAATCAGAAAATACATTTTTAGAATGAGTGTGTGGCACGGAATAGGACACGGCAGGAAGTAAAGTGCTTTTTAGTCTTTTTTATCCTTCTTTTTTCCAGAGCATATTGATACTATTGTTGCCGATTACCTGTCGAAAAGCAGTTATATTTTCAGTGAACATTTTCACACATCTCACCCACGAAAATCCAGAGACATCACATTCTATTTACTGAAAATTTAGCTAAACCAAAAATTGCCTAATCAGATCTAACAGAAATAAGACATTTCACTAAGAGAGCACACCTATGTTAGAAGTTGAAACAACATCGTGATAAGCGATAAAATAAGACACATTCCAACTGATTTGATCAAATACTATAGCCATAGTTGCCCTTAAATCTGACAGTGTAACTTGTTTCTTCTAACTTTCGTATTAATGTTTTAATGTATGTACATATATTGACCATTAAGGCTATCATACATGTACATGTAAATTGACCAATAATGTTATCATACATGTACATATATATTGACCATTAATGTTATCCTACATGTACATATCTTGACCATTATTGTTATCATAGATGTAAATATATATTGACCATTAATGTTATCATACATTTACATATATTGACCATTAATGTCATCCTACATGTACAAATATATTTGACCATTAATGTTATCATATATGTACATATATATATTGACCATTAATGTTATCATACATGCACATATATATTGACCATTAATGTTATCATGCATGTACATATATTGACCATTGATGCTATCATATATATACATATATATTGACCATTAATGTTATCATATATGTACATATATATATTGACCATTAATGTTATCATACATGCACATATATATTGACCATTAATGTTATCATATATGTACATATATATTGACCATTAATGTTATCATGCATGTACATATATTGACCATTAATGTTATCATACATTTACATATATTGACCAATAATGTCATCCTACATGTACATATATATATTGACCATTAAATTAATCATGCATGTACATATATTGACCATTATTGTTATCATAGATGTACATATATATTGACCATTAATATTATCACGCATGTGCATATATTGACCATTAATATTATCACACATGTACACATATTGAAAATTAATGTTATCACGCATGTACATATATTGACCATTATTGTTATCATACATGTACATATATATTGACCATTAATGTTATCACGCATGTACATATATTGACCATTATTGTTATCATAGATATACATATGTATATTGACCATTAATGTTATCATATATGTGCATATATTGACCATTAATGTTATCATATATGTGCATATATTGACCATTATTGTTATCATAGATGTAAATATATATTGACCATTAATGTTATCATACATTTACATATATTGAACATTAATGTCATCCTACATGTACATATATATTGACCATTAATGTTATCATATATGTACATATATATATATTGACCATTAATGTTATCATACATGCACATATATATTGACCATTAATGTTATCATATATGTACATATATATATATATATATATATATATTGACCATTAATGTTATCATACATGCACATATATTGACCATTGATGCTATCATATATGTACATTTATATTGACCATTAAATTAATCATGCATGTACATATATTGACCATTAATGTTATCATGCATGTACATATATTGACCATTAATGTTATCATACATGTACATATATTGACCATTAATATTATCATACATTTACATATATTGACCAATACATACTAAGCTAAATAAACGTTGTCATTTGTGTACATTTATTGGCCTCCTCGTAGTGTGCTGAATCAGCGTTATCAGATGTGTAGATCTATTGGCCACCTCATGGTAGCCTGACCGGAAGTGATCCCCATATAACATGTGTACAATATATATATATATATATATATATATATATATATATATATATATATATATATATATATATATATATATATATATATATATATATATATATATATATCACATAACATGTGTACATTATCTATCACATAACGTGTACAATATCATATAACTTGTGTACAATATCTATCATATAAAAATGTGTACAATATCTATCATATAACATGTGTACAATATCTATCACATAACGTGTGTACAATATCTTTCATATAACATGTGAACAATATCTATCATATAACATGTATACAATATCTATCACATAACATGTGTACAATATCTATCATGTGAAATGTCTACAATATCTATCATATGAAATGTCTACAATATCTATCATATGAAATGTCTACAATATCTATCATATAACATGCATACAATATCTATCACAAAGCATGTGTATAGTGTTTATCGTATAACACATGTACAATATCTGTTTAGAAAAGATTCTGATGATGATTGTGTAAGAAGAAACAAAGTAAATTAATAAAATTCATCCAATTATATTATCTTTTAATCAAAAAGTGAATAATATTACAATAAGTAATGAGCGTATAATTGATCATACTTGATTTAGTTTACATATCTGCTTTGCAAACGTGTTAATATTGTGCAAGAACAGGCATAACTTGGACAGGAAAGGCAACACGAGAAAATACTGCAGCAAAAATGGCAAAGCTTTACTCCTGCTACTACTACTACAACTACTATAACCGCTTCTACTATTGTTACTAACTAACGCGACAACAACAACAATAATAATAATAATAATAATTATTATTATTATTATTATTATCATTATATTGTTGTTGTTATTATTATTATTATTATTATTATTATTATTATTATTATTATTATTATTATTATTATTATTATTATCAACAACACTAACAACAGGCAGTAGATACATAATTAGGAGAGAATATTCAGTTAGCAAACTAACAA